TAGAGAATAGAGACAGAGGGGATAAAGACCAAAAAATGAAAGGTATAGTTAGAGATGGAAAAATAGACAGAAATGGACAGACATTCAAACACAATCACGTGTTTTAGGGCCTGTCTGTAGAAGAAAAGAGAGAGAGAGAGAGAGAGAGAGAGAGAGAGAGAGAGAGAGAGAGAGAGATCGACAAAGGGAAGAAAGAGTGAAAGACAGAAAGAAAAAAACAATATCTAAATAATTCTGAAGAACAAATGGAATAACCTGTAAACTTCAACCAAATATAAAAACAAAAACCCTTAAATACGACATCAGTGAGCCGATCTTCCTCACCCATGATTAAACCCTATATAATCTTCCTCCCTCCGTATTGTCTATGGGTGAATGAGAATTGTTCATAAGCTGCCATAATGAGGGCTGGTCACATGGGCCGGGGGTGTAAGCAGGGCGGAGGTACAGAACAATAATTACCTCAGGGGGAGTGTTAGTTAGTGGGTTCGTTAGACAATCATTCAGCCATTGGGTCAGTTTTAATCAGTCAGTCAGTGCGTCATATGAGTCAGTCAGTCAGGACGTCATTCGAGTCTTTCAGTCAGTCAGTTAGTCAGTCAATAAGTCAGTCAGTCAGTTAGTCAGTCAGTCAGTCAACCAGCAAATCATTCTTTCAGTCAGTCAGTTAGCGTACCAAATAGTCAGTGTGGTGTTTATAGAGGTGACCAACACAGATAACAGCCTTGAATCCACACACACACACCCTCCCATTCAACAGACTCTGGACACAGATACACTCCCTCAACAGACTGACAGACAAACAACACAGCCCTGGAGACAGACAAACTCAACAGACATCCTCCCTCACATTACCTCAAGTTTTTTTTTTTAATTATGAGAAAATGATATAAAAAAAGGTTTTCTGGAAGCTGACTCACTGAGGGAGGTGTTCTCTCTCTCTCTCTCTCTCTCTCTCTCTCTCTCTCTCTCTCTCTCTCTCTCTCTCTCCTCATCAAGACCTCACAGACGCGAATTTCTTGTCAACTTTATGTCCCTTGAAAATAAAAATGGTCACCCTTAGGACACTAAGCAAACTTGTGAGAGGGGAAGAGGAGACTAGAGGGAGGGGGGGAACCATAGAGGGGAGAGTATGGGAGATGGAGCTTAAGGAAAGGGAAGATTTGGGGAGGGGAGGTAGGAGACTAGAGGGAAGAGGAGTCAGGGAGAGGGAAAGTAATGGAATGGGGGAGTAGGAAGGAGAAGGATGTTGGTGAGAAGAAAGGATTAGAGGGGCCCTGTGAGAGTAAGGAAGAGAGGGAGATAGGTGTTGGGGAGAGGGGGAGAGATTATGGGAATGATGGGGATAGAAGGGGAGAGGAAAATAATGAAGACCAAGAAGGATGAAGAAAACATAGTTCAGGGGGAAGCAAGAAGAACAACTTAGAGAGAGGGCCGGGGGGGTGGGGGTGGGGGGGCAGTGCGTCAGGTCAGACTGGTGGACACTGGCCCGGTACACCCTCCCTCGCTCACAGTCTGACCAACACTGACGTCAGTTTACAAGCGAACAATATGATGTTTGAAGATATCGTACTGGTCGGTGAATGTTCTTTCCGGCTGTGTTTAGTCTTCCCAGTGAACACCTTTCTTGACCAGACTGATTAGTGTTTTCATATGTGAAGGATATTACTTCAAGTGTGGAATAACGCATCTAAAGAGATGAGCCATTTCTATCTGTAAATGTGATGGTAATGTGATTATAACTTGGTAATATAAAAAAAAATCGTATTCATTCTTTATCATGTTGGGTTAAATCTGTAACTAGAACGGAGAGTATTGGTGTCGGTATGATCGTACACCTGGCAGCACCTCACCTTCAATACGTGCAAGATGTCTGTCGAGAGAAAAGTTAGATGAGTATGTTACTCAAGTCTGATATCAATATTTGGGCTGGCGTGATTTAAATCATAGTAAACGAAATATGAATTGAATTTAAATTAGATTTTTATTGATAGTTAGTCTGAAATGTAAACATATCCACCAGTCCTGCTTCCATCTCTCCTCCTAGACAACTCATGGAAATACTAGATAACCAGGGCGACGATACTGTATGTTGTTTAATAATTTTCCCTCAGATAAATGTACAGTGTTTATCAGAGGCCATTCGGTAGAGTTGCAACATTCGAAAGACTCAGCCACGTAAATATTGCTGTTGTTTACTTTACATCTGTATTATTCTGAATTAATAAACTGTTTCAATATCAATTTCACTATCAACATTTCACATCTTGACACAGTCGTCCATTCACCAGGAGCTAATGAATCTCGTACCATCAGTGCCTCAGTGTAGGGTCACCACCACCTTGATACCAACACTCAACTCTCAGGGTTTCTTAAGTGCAGATAGATGTTGACTCATGTTTCTTGAAGCACGACTACGATTTAACCCCTTGAGTCTTGAAGGGTTGATTCGTCGTTCTCAAAAAGTTGATTCGTCGTTCTCAAAGGGTTAATTCGTCGTTCTCAAAGGGTTGATTCGTCGTTCTCAAAAAGTTGATTCGTCCTTCTCAAAGGGTTAATTCGTCGTTCTCAAAGGGTTAATTCGTCGTTCTCAAATAATTAATTGCAAAATATCCCATGTAACTACACATAAGACGATTAATTTTATTTAACAACATTGGTAATATTTTCCGACTCTGATATTCATAGACTGATAGACACAGCTGAAACATCTTAGCTATCCTTCTAACAATATGAATAATAATGTATGTGGAGTGAAAAAATGTAGTAAAGACGGAGAGAGAGAAGAGGTAATAGGAATACGTAAGTGGGGTAACGGGGATAAAGATGTAAGAAGCGGAGGGGGATGAGACGAGAAGGAGGAAGATTTCATTTCACTCTCATTAAAAACTTGATTCGCTGGTTAGGTCGTGTGATTCCTGCATCCTTGAGGTGCACACACACACACACACACACACACACACACACACACACACACACACACACACATTGGTGCCACGTTTATATGCCACAGTGCCACGTTTAAATCATAATTTTTGGCACACACTTGTAAACGTCATTTGTTACATGTAAATACAGTGTCCAGAAAATTATCTATTATCATTTTAAAACTTATTAACCTCAAATATATTACAAACAGAACACAGTGTACCGGTCGACGTCTTCTAGGATGAGAACAAAAACTTAGGAGGTGTTCAAGTATAATAAAACTGACGTGTGTGCTGTCTATTGTAGTCTAGAATGAGTCAGTTTTATGGACACTATATATGAGGTGTGATCTGTAGAGTATAGAATAAGCCGGTCTCTATATAACATATGCAATCGGGTTTTTTTTTTATAATGGCGGAGTTATTAACTTTATAATTTATTGAAGACTAATTGATCCACATTATTATCATTACTATTATTATTATTATTATTATTATTTATTTTAATATATATATATATGCGTTACTATTAGGCCTATATTAACTTGCTAGTATTTTTCCCATACAAAGTTCATTTTTTGGTAACTTATTCAATAATAATAATAATACTAATATTAATAATAATCATAATTTTACTACTAACAACCTGTAACAACAATAATAAATACAGCAGAAACACCCTAGCATTCACTAATTACAGCAATACATAGCCTCATACATTACAAAATTAAACTGTACCACTATTTATTACGTATATTTTAACAGTCTAATTTTAATCTAACGCCAAGTGTGTCCTAATCTACTTAAGTCACCCCTCAAGGCCCAAGTGCTTGACCTGGTGGTTACGTCGCCAGTATTTTATATAACAATAAATTAGTTTGTAAATTGGAATTATTAACCTGTATTAATTCCAATAATAATAGTCTGTGAATAAAACTGTATCACTGTAACTAATGAAACAGCCTGAATTTCTACGCTGTATTAATTTCTGAAATCAATTACTGCTCCAGCATTATAATGTTAACTCGAATTCCACGCTGTACCAATTTTTCTTATCAAAATGTACCGTGTACCATAAAAACTGTCCCATTTGATCAATATAATTCGAAACACACGTTGTAATGATCTACACCATCAAACCAGCAAGTAGTACAGTGAAATAGTGGTATGATATTATTGTAAACACACCGCCAAGGCAATATCACTCGCTGAGAGAGAGAGAGAGAGAGAGAGAGAGAGAGAGAGAGAGAGAGAGAGAGAGAGAGAGGAACCTATGCACCGACCTCAGCCAAACCAGAATAACATGGGTGACATCAATACACGAGGAGGCAGAGACCGGCTACCCGACGTTGTATCCTTTAAAAAAACCAAACGTACCTAAAATTTGATTTACCTTTAAATTTTGTAGTGGCTCCACCCCCTTAAAAACCTCACGAGGCGAAGAAAGTTTAAGTTGGTCTTGAAAAATGTAAATGCAATGTAAACTTTCCAATCACCCCACACCTACTCTGCTATCTGAGAGGGTAGACTTAAGCATGTCGGGGAGGAAGTATTTTAAGGTAGATCATAGATAAAAAAAGATGGTAGATAAAGCAGACGAGAGATAGAATATATATTAGATTAAATAGATGGTGGAATCAGATGGTTAAAGTAGGTGGTAGATAGAATTGAGGGTACATAAAATAGCTGAAGACAAAGTAGTGTTTAAAGTAGATGGTGGGTAGTATAAATGGTAGATAAATAGATGGTAGATAAAAGAAGTTAGATAAAGTTGATGGTTGGGAGGGAATAAGTGTGTTAGGTGTGTGTTGACGTTGGTATTGAAGATGTAATTTCATTTATTAGTTGTTGAACATTAAATTTGTTTTAGAACATTTGTCTTTTCGTCGTATTTAACTTTTTTGGGACATAAGGTCAAATCAAAGGTCATCCTCAGAGGGGTGAGGTAGTACTGGTAAGAGAGCTCACTACTGTCCAAGGCTTTGTTCTTTACCAGATTATATCATCGACTTCTCGCGTGTAGGTACACCATCCGTCAACCACCACCTGCCGTAATGTTTGTAATCATTGTACCTGGTCAGGTGGGCAGGTGATGTCTGACACCTGTGTGACACAATACTCTCACTAGTGACTCTACTGTAGATGCACAGTGTGATATCCTCAGTGGCATCTCTAGGTGGTTTAATACACTCGTTGGCAACTTTTGGTGAGCAATACACTCGCTGGCAACTGAGCTTCGCATGCCAGGCGTCACTAAAACAGAAGACAATCAATCATCTTTATTGTTATAATTATGGATCAATATCCAATTATAATTTTTCTTTTTCTTTATAATATATCCGCCAAGACCTACAGTGGTCATTATGGGTGAAGCAGTGTTGTGTCCTGGTTATTCCTTCCCTATATCTTGATGTCTTTATTACCTTAACCTCACGCCGAGTATACAGGATGTGTCAAGAAAATGTATACACACTGTCTGGATGAGTTTCGTGAAGATCAAGTGTATGATTTTTATTACAACAGCAACATTGTCTTCACTTATGGGAACCTCGCACATCAACATAGGAGGACAATGTTGAAGTTGTAACACAAACATTCACGTTTTCTCCACGATAATCTGTAAGGCCGTGTGTATACATTGTTCTGAGACAACCCTGTAGTATTGGATTTTGGTACTTTGTAATGGACTATGCCTCTATGTCAAGTAACGTGAGGTCTTGAAGTATAATTTGAAGTAAATAAATAACAGAAGAAAAAAACTTGATCCAGGTAAACTTTTTTATTCTTCGTCCTGTTTTATTGTAGTTTTTTTGTTTTTTTGTTTTTAGTAAAAGACAATTTCCTTCTCAATTGACAATTCTCTGATACCAAGAAGTGATCGAGAGAAAATTATCAGTGAAGGAAATTGTTTACCCGCACGAAGCCATCAAGGAGAGGGTTGCAGAGGGTTCATTATGTAAAGTTAACAGGACAGTAGTGAAAAATGATAATACCACTGCAGACGATCTCGTGGCTCGTGAAGAATCCTCAACATTGAAGTCGATATTGTGGATGAACCCGACTGTATCGTAGACTGTTACAGATAAGAGGTCATTTTAAGGGTTCAGAAGAGGTATGATACTTTTCCTTAACCTTAATTCTTACAGATGATGTTATTAGTGTTTATAAGGAGCCCGAAATATCTAGTGTTATGTCAACTGTGAAGCTCTAAGGTGACAGTCTTCCACACACAAATAATCACGTGTGTTGATGTGTGTTGGGAGGCAGAAAAACACCTTTCATACCCAGGTCATCATACTGTGTGTGTGTGTGTGTGTGTGTGTGTGTGTGTGTGTGTGTGTGTGTGTGTGTGTGTGTGTGTGTGACGGTTCTTTACGCAATATTTCGGGGGTCACCTTAAAGTTTAATAGCTAACATGACAAACGTTACTTCTGCACCGTTAAACACGCAATTAACATGAGCAATATACACCCTAGATAGTACGAAACACATGATGTCATTTCTCACCCCCCTGAAGTGACCCTTAAAACGGAATAAGTACTGTACCTGTGTCTAGTTAGTACTCGTATATAAGTCGGCAGATGACATTTACTATAGCCACGCCAAGAAAGACTTTTGTACACACTGGGGTCCATCACAGGGGATAGAACGATAGAGAACTAACACAGATATAACCACATAAATTGCCATCCTAATATCAAGATTCAAGTGAAATTTTAAGTTCAGGGAGTGTGAAGAATTAACTCTAACTTGGTATCATTTCCATTCCTTAATTATTCATGTTTTGGCCTAACTCATATTCTTAAAGACCATTGATTCATTTCCCCTAACTCACCCGGATATACATGATGATAAAGAATTAAAATAATGAATATAAACTTCCCCAAAACAGATGGAACTCCCCCATAAAAAAATTCCACCGGTGGTAATTGCCACCTTAATGACTCAACAGCTTCATTATCACATTAATTGGGGAAATGAGGAAAGGGGTCACCTGAAGATTACACCCCCCAGCTTATTTCACCGGAAGATTCACTATCTTAGGGGGGTTAGGGTAAAGTAGGTGAGAGCAAGAGTCTAATCTTCTGGTGAAATAAGCTGTTATGCCTAATCTTCAGATGACCCGAGTGAAGTAGACACAAGGGTAGACTACAAGGTTCAGCAGACACAAGGGTAGACTACAAGGTTCAGCAGACACAAGGGTAGACTACAAGGTTCAGCAGACACAAGATTATGTTAATATTTCAGTACTTACGATTGTTGTGTATGTATGTGTAGGTGTAAACGTGTACCTGTACATCTTTGTGTGTATGTCTGTCTGCTTACTGTATGTCTCTCTGTCTGTCTGTCTATTTACTGTATGTCTCTCTGTCTGTCTGTCTGAGGTCAACGCCAGATAAGGGCAATATGGCAGCCATAATACAAATGTTCTAACTTTGACCATATATAAATAATGCATCCGCTGGTGGCCTCAGTAATGTATTGACCGATCTATCTTCAACTTCTACTGGAATGGGGATGGATAGGGCCATCATATACCATTTTACGCCATTATTTCCCATTATAAGCCATCATACGACCTCATCCGCCACAGCCAGTCGCCTAGTTTCCTATAGATCGGGTGAAGGAGAGGTGAGCGTGGTGTGTATGTTGCTATATAATGTATGTGTTATGTGTCAGTCGTATGTGTGTTGTATATATGTGTGTTTGTGTGTATTATGTGTATGCCCCCCCATATGCAGTTTGCGTGACTGACGTGATTATGTACTGTACGTTTAGGTGCGTGTGTACCTGTGTGCTTCACCCTCAAGGTAATAATGTATTAACCTGCTAACTTTGCTCATTACCCGTGACGTCATCTCATCGCCTTAACTACCTCATGCTCAGCTAATTCATAAAACAGAATCACCTCATTCAACAAACTCACATGACCCCCAAACAGCTCGTCCGACAGCCCTGTGACACGTCCTCCACTTGTGCTCCTCCACATCTGTTCCACCATCTTTGCTCCTCCACCTACCCTCCACCTGTGTTCCTCCACCTACCTCCACCTGTGTTCCCTACCCTCCACCTGTGTCCTACCCTCCCACCTGTGCTCCTCCACTACCCTCCACCTGTTCCCTCCACCTACCCTCTCCCTGTGCTCCTCCATCTGTTCCACCATCTGCTCCTCCCTACCCTCCACCTGTGTTCCTCCACCTACCTCCACCTGTGTTCCTCCCACCTACCCTCCACAGTGCCCTACCCCTCCACCTGTGCTCTCCACATCCCTACGTCTTTGCTCCTCTACCCCTCCACCTGTGTTCCTCCACCTACCTCCCCTGTGTTCATCCACCTACCCTCCACCTGTGTTCCTCCACCTACCCTCCACCTGTGTTCCTCCACCTACCCTCCACCTGTGTTCCTCCACCTACCCTCCACCTGTGTTCCTCCACCTACCCTCCACCTGTGTTCCTCCACCTACCCTCCACCTGTGTTCCTCCACCTACCCTCCACCTGTGCTCTTCCACCAGTCCTCCACCTGTGCTCCTCCACCTGTCCTGTACCTGTTTTCCTCCGCCTCATCACCTTGTTTGATCCCATTTCATATGTGACCTCTATTGACCTTGGGGGGCGGGGTGTGAGAGGCCATTCTCACATGTGACCTTACTTGACCCTGAGGTTCTAAGAGGTTAGAAGGAAGGGAAAGTGAGGGGGAGGAAGAAGGTAGAGGGGAAGCGAGAAGTGAGAGTAACAGGGGGAGGGAGGTGGGAGTGGGGAGGTAAGAGGAAAATGGGGAGGGAGAGTGGGGGAGTGGGGGGGGTTGCCGAACTGAGAGAGCTGGGGAGTGAGATGTACAGGTTAAAATTTCAACTTCGCTCTCTCTCTCTCTCTCTCTCTCTCTCTCTCTCTCTCTCTCTCTCTCTCTCTCTCTCTCTCTCTCTCTCTCTCTCTCTCTCTCTCTCTCTCTCTCATCTTTGTTGTGTATCTTATCGTCAAACGTAAACATTGACTCATCATTTCTAGGCAGAACGTGAACAAACCGTCGACCAGCGAGTTTCAAGCTACTCTAAGGTTATTATCTACTTAATTGCCTTTCATGATGCCCTAATCACCTCATAAACGGGGTTAATTAGCTTGTTTCCAATAATTAAATCCTTATGGAGGAGAAATAATTAAGAGCACTAAACCTTCCTTGACTTATTTTTTTTCTGGGGGGAGTTATAAATTTGTTATGTTGGCCTTTGTTATGTTATTTTATGTTATGCTATGATATGCATATACAATATTATGTTATGTATATGTAATGTTATGTAATGTAATATTATGTTATGTATATGTAATGTTATGTAATGTAATATTATGTTATGTATATGTAATGTTATGTAATGTAATATTATGTTACGTATATGTAATGTTATGTAATGTAATATTATGTTATGTATATGTAATGTTATGTAATGTAATATTATGTTACGTATATGTAATGTTATGTAATGTAATATTATGTTATGTATATGTAATGTTATGTAATGTAATATTATGTTATGTACCGTGTATGAATAGATTTATGAAACGTATACATATGTATTTATTCTGGGTGGAGTATAGTGTTCATATTGTTGTGGTTTATGTAGTCAGCCACTAACGCGTATAATATGTAAAAATACGCCATAATTTATCAGGTTTCTGACTGCGGGTCCACGGAAAATCCTTAGAGTAAGATTGTTTTTAACGAGAGAGAGAGAGGGTTAAGAGAAATTGATAAGAGATAAGAGAGAAAGATAAAGATAAGAGAGATAGATAGAGATTAGAGGAACAGAGAGAGAGAGAGTCATCATGCAGGGAAAACCATAGACTATTTTCTTCATATGATGCTCCGAAAGTCTTGAAAGAGTAATCAGAAATGGAAGGCTTTTAAGATGAAGGCTTCATTTAGGTGGTGGGGAGCCAGAGTGAGTCTGTGATAGTAGTGAGTGATGGTCCGCCATAGATGCTCTTAGCAAATTAACTATTGATCACACCAACATATTTCCTGTCCCTTTACGATTACGTGAAAGCGGGGGGGGGGGGGGGCAAGTTGATTGGCTGAGATTGTTAACCTTTCAGCCAGTCGCAATAGACTTGACAAAATGAATCACCCGATCGGAACTGATTGGCTGAGATGGCGTACCTATCAACCAATCACCATAGACTTGATAAATTCAATCAGCTGATGAGGGAAAAAGACCGCCAAAAACATGTTCCGACACGAATTTTGTTGTTGTTGACGTTAATAAGGTGTGGTAGTTGTTGTTGTTGTGGTGGTAGTTGTTGTTGTTGAAGTTGTTAGTTGTGGTGGTAGTTGTTGTTGACGTTGTTAAGTTGTGGTAGTTGTTGTTGACGTTGTTAAGTTGTGGTAGTTGTTGTTGACGTGTTAAGTTGTGGTAGTTGTTGTTGGTGGTAAGTTGTGTTAGTTGTTGTTGGTGTTAAGTTGTGGTAATTGTTGTTATCGTTATTAACATGTGGTAGTTGTTGGTGTCGTTATGTTGCGGTTGTTGTTATTGACGTTAACTTGTGGTAAAAGTTATGTTAATATTTATATTTTGCGTCCTGATTGATGTATTTATCGGAGGTTGTAGTTGCTATGGTAGTTGTGAGGTGTTATGGTTATGGTTGTAATGGTAGGAATCTAAATGCCTATTCTTAAATGACAACGGATTGTGAGAGACCTTACATACTCTCTCTCTCTCTCTCTCTCCCTCCCTCTCTCTGTCTCTCAATAAGTTATATGGTAATAATAGTGCTATAGTGAGTTATATAGTGACAGCGATACAGTGAGAGTGAAATAATGATACAGTAGGCGATTATCGATTAATGGCAGGTCCCTTTAATTACTGATTATCATTTAACCATCGACAGGAGGAATGGGTTTACTTGTAATATAATTGATCTCTCAAGAATACACACACACACAGAAAAGGATTTAGCACTCAAGAAACACGTCATGATTTTGGCCGCACATAAATAAGATGAAATACTCTAGCAGTAATGGCTCTTGGTACCGGAGTCTCTGAGTTCGATCTTAACACAATACTCAGTAACTCTGACCTTAGCTTAACCCTTAACACTAACTCTGACTTTAACTGAACCTTAAGAACTAACTGAGACTTTAACCGAACCCTTTGAACTAACTTTGAACCTTAACTGAACCTTTAAAACTAACTCTTGACTTTAACTGAACCTTTAGAACTAACTGAGACTTTAACCGAACCCTTTGAACTAACTTTGAACCTTAACTGAACCCTTAAAACTAACTCTTGACTTTAACTGAACCTTTAGAACTAACTGAGACTTTAACCGAACCCTTTGAACTAACTTTGAACCTTAACTGAACCTTTAAAACTAACTCTTGACTTTAACTGAACCCTTAGAATTAACTGAGACTTTAACTGAACTAACTCTCCTGACCTTTGAGTGTGAGTATGTGGGTGTTTGAGTGAGTGTATGTGGATGTTTGAGTGAGTGTATGTGGGTGTTTGAGTGAGTGTATGTGGGTGTTTGAGTGAGTGTATGTGGGTGTTTGAGTGAGTGTATGAGGATATCATTGAGTCAGTGAGTGAGTGAGTGAGTGAATGAGCTAGAGTCTACACCACCAGTAAGAGGAAGACTTGAATTATAATCCCCATTAGGCTTCAGACTCATCACTGCTCAACGTAACATTTTTTTTTTTGTTTTCCTCTTTACTGGAGATGTGAGAGCTTGGTGTTTTTTTTTCTACCTCATTTATGCTTGAACACAACGGCAGCGGTCAAAATGGGTTCGACATTGCACTACTGAGACTAATTAGAGAGACTTTTTTTTATATTTTCCTCGTTAAGATAAGTGTGTTTTATTTGTATCCTACTTCCTTTGTCTGCTCCCACGCTACTCATGCCTCTCCCACGCTTCTCCCACGTGGGTCTGGGAGAGGTGTGGGGAGGTATAGGGAGGGTGGGGGTTAGGGGTGGGTCAGTAATCTGTGGAGGGAGAGAAAATTGGTTTGAGGTGTTAGAGAGAGCTGTTGATGTTGAAGTCTCTCTCTCTCTCTCTCTCTCTCTCTCTCTCTCTCTCTCTCTCTCTCGGGAAGGGAGGGAGTATGAAATGAACGGGAAAAAGAGAGAGAGTGAGAATATCTCTTACTTTTTTCTCCAGTAGGAGGAGAGAATTTTTCTGCCTGCCTAACTTAAATCCACTACTGTATTTGTACTTCTGCCACAGCCGCCTGAAAACTTTTTTTTTTTTTTTTTTTTAAGAATCTCTCCAGACTGGCGGCCTGGAAACCTACCGAGCAGCTCCTCTGGTGTGCACTTACCTCCATCTCACAACCTCATCCTACATTATGGCAGTATATTATCGTGTTTTTTAGAGATTGTTGGAGGAGTCCCACAAGAATAATGCACATGTTATTTTTATGATGTAAGTGGAAACAAAGTCATCTACTACACCCGTTCATCTCAATAACATAATTTTCTTGGTTTATTTCACAGACATTTTAAGAGTCGTGGAATATTTTGTTTTTAGAATATACACAAGACACCGGGTTTAGAATATTCACCAGAAAAGAAGTTTTTGAGTCTGATTTGTATGGATTCATGAAAAAATCCAAAGAAAGTTTGTAAAAAAGAAACAAAAAACACAAGTATATCCGGAGTGGAGATGAAAGGAGGATCTTCTCCGGGGTCACAATAAATAAAGCCCTCCATACACCCAACCACCCGTCCACGTATTTCATTGGAGTATTTTATTGGTCTTGTGAAACTTATTTGAGACAAAGACAGACTCAGTAGCAGACAGCTTCATGGCCGACAGCCCACACTGGTTGCACAAGAAAAATCAGCGACTCTAAGTAGTTTCCAGGTATAACAAATCTTTCTCCTGTCGGATTCGGAAAATGTGAAATTCTGCGTCGAGGAAATTCGTGGTTGTATCTTTGCTGTGACTTGTGTCTTAGTTATTACAGTACGGAGGGAGGAGCACCACGCCGCCTCCGGGCTACACCAC